CAAACAATTACAGTACACTGTACAAAAGCAAAAATGCATCTGATACGTAGCTCCGATACGTAGCGATGCAGACAGAAGCGTGTACAGTAATGACAGTGGCAGTGATGACAGAGCATGCGCTGTTATGCAAAAACCGCGATAGAGTGAAGCCGCGGAAGTCGAAGTGCGAAGTGGCAAGGGTTCACTGTATATATAATTTCAATTGAACAGATGATACATAAGTGTATATTTTGGAGCTCTGGTTTTGACATTTATTAAGAGTTGGACTGCTATCCCTCACAGTCAGGTACAAACCCGTTGGCTGCCTGTCATGGCTTTAGAGTCTCGGAAACTCTGTGCAGCAGTTTTATTGAGGCCTATCGGGTGCTTATACGGCTAACTCTACATGATAGTGAGTTTTAAAGTGTTTCTAAAGTGATTGTACAACTTATAGTTCCTCTAGAAATTCATTTTCAGTTTATAATAGCTCTTTATATAGCCCATTTAAAATGTTTCCAGATGCTTTAATTAACATACTTGTCCTCAAAGTTCATTGATTTGTCATTCTTCTTGAGAGTCACACAGTAAGGAATTGATAGTTCTGTATGCTGTGAGGTAGGGATCCAGCTTCTTTGTTTCTTCCTTTAGGCATGTACATATGATTGTCCAATCTCTTTATTATAAAGTCATCTTTTACTCACATGTCTGAAAATTAATAGTTTTAGATTTATTGGTTATGGTTAAGCATGTTTTCCATCACTCAATAAGGGTACCATTAACAGTATTGAGGACTTTGTGTTAAGAAGAGTGACAGAACTGTAATAGCATCTGGACCTACAGGTTCTGTGTTAGTCACATTGTATTCTCTTATCAGCCTGCAAATTGTGCATCAAAATCAGCGCAGAAGAAAGAGGAAGAGGTACCCGGTTTGGGTATTATTATTTCTGGGATGTCCCCTTGAGAGATTGAATTTGTGAACATCATTAGAGCTGATCCAGAGAAGACAAACAGAGCATCCCAGTTGCCGGCAGTGTCCTAAGGACCAAAGGAAATGACCAAGGCTCAGGTGATTTTGATGTAATTTATCCTTTTCTATATTTCCTACTGGGATTGTAGAGGCCTGTATAATACTGATTCAGTTCATTGGGAAAGTGGAAATTTAAAATTGTTGAAGTTATAGATAAACTCTGATTCTGACTTCAACAGTGGGCTGGAGATTAGGAATATTGATCATATACATATTGCCTATGTATTGACATTTAACTAAACTATTGACATTGAACATAATACATCACTGAGGGTACTTTGGATGACATTATCTTTCAACTCATTATTCTATGGCCAACCCATGAGAATCATTCAAATAATATGCTCTGCTTAGTTTTTTAAAATCATTTTATTGGGGGATCGTACAACTCTAATCACAATCCATACATACATCTATTGTCAAGCACATTTGTACATTTGTTGCCATCATCATTCTCAAAACATTTTCTTTCCACTTGAGCACTTGATATTAGCTCCTCATTTTTTCCCTCCCTTCTTCACCTTCTGTTCCTCACTAAACCTTGATAATATATGTTATTACTTTTTCATGTCTTACACTTTCATGTCTCCCTTCACCCATTTTTCTGTTGTCCGTCCCCCAGGGAGGGGCTTATATGTAGATCATTGTGATAGGTTCCCCTTTTCTCCCCTACCTTCCCCTTCCCCTCTTGGTATCTCTACTCTCATTGTTGGTCCTGAGGAACTTATCCTGGATTCCCCGTGTTTCCAGCTCTTATCCACACCAGTGTACATTCTCTAGTCTATCTGGATTTGTACGGTAGAACTGGGATCATGATAGTGGGGGGAGTAAGCATTAAGAACTAGAAGTAAGTTATATGTTTCATTGGTGCTATATTGCACCCTGACTGGCTCTTCTCCTTCCCGTGATCCTTCTGTAAAGGGATGTCCAGTTACTTGAAGATGGGCTTTTGGTCTCCACTCTGCACTCCCCCTCATTCAATGATATGATTTTTTTGTTCGTTGATGCCTGATCCCTGATCCCTTCGACACCTCGTGATCCCACAGGCTGAGCTTCTTCCATGTGGGCTTTGTTGCTTCTCAGCTACATGTATGCTTATTTATCTTTAAGCCTTCAAGGTCCCAGACATTATATATTTTTATAGCCAGGCACCATCAGCTTTCTTTACCACATTTGCTTGTGCATCCGCTCTGCCTTCAGCGATACTGTCGGGAAGGTGAGCATAATGGAATTCCAGGTTAATAGAAAAAAGAGTTCTTGCATTGAGGGAGAACTTGTGTGGAGGCTCAATGTCCATCTGCTACCTTAATACAAAAACATATAAATAAATGCACATAAATCTATTTCCCCATCATCATATATAAATGTATTTATATTTGTACATGCCTGTATTTAGACCTCTATCAATGCCCTTTGCCTCCTAGTTCCTTCCTTTATTTCATTTTACTTTCCTCTTGTTCCACTATCACATTCAGCCTTCATTTGGGTTTCAGCAATTCCTCTCAGTTACATTGCCCTTGATCAAGCCCTACTAGGTC